TCTCTCTCTCTCTCTCTCTCTCTCTCTCTCTCTCTCTCTCTCTCTCTCTCTCTCTCTCAGCCTAAGCAGAGCAGCCTGGAAAGGGTCCAAGCAGTCCACAACCTGGCTGACTGAGAACAATTAAAGCTGATGTCTCTGTGTTGTATTAATGTTTTTTACATTCATTTGACTTATTTTTGAACATTTCTGTTTCTTTGTTGTTGTTTTACTTGTTTATTCTGTATAGCTATAGTATACTTTTTAAATAACATTTGTCTTGACATTTTTGCCCTCTTTACTGTTGTAAACATTTTGGACAACCTGGAAAATGACTTGTTAGTCAACCACTTCTTTGAGTTTTTTGTTTTTGTTTTTTTCATCTTTCTGCTGAAAATACTTTTCACATTCTGGCCCTACTTAAACACTGTTCATTCAAAGAGGTGATTAGTGTCTGCAGTCAGCGTATCGAGTGTCACTTGACACGAGGCAACCTTCACTTTTCCAAGTTTCACTTGTTTCATTTGTTGGAAACCTTTGGATTTTTTTGTTTACAGTGTCATAAGTAAAGGTAGGCATTAGGCATACAAAGTGGAGTAAATTATTTTAATTGTGTAAGACTTAAGTTGCATATCCTTTAAATTATGARGCGCAGCATTTTAAGCAACAGTAACAGTTTAAATTTAAACCACATTAAATTAAAAGGCAACAGTTTAAATTTTGCTAATGTTTGTGTTTTCTATATGTTGGATATATGACAAGTGTTAGTACCGTGATGACTCACTGTTTCCTGTTTGTCTCGGAACTATGACCTCATTTGACAGTAAGTAGATCGCTTTACGAAACACCCAGTGTCTGCTGTTTTATCTTTCTGTAAACAAGGCTCCCAAACATATCTTTCCCCAACTACCTCCTCCAAGCTCCTCCAGAGTATCCCCAATGCATCCCAGGTCAGAGGTGAGATACTGTGCAGTTTCTAAAGCAAGTCCTGGGTCTCTCAGAAGATCCCAGTAGGACATGTTGGAATTATAGGAGGCAACCAAAAGGCGTCCTTACCAAGGTAGCCTCATGTATCAGTGGTGAGTAAGTTCCACAGACACATCAGGATGCATTACAATGAACGTCGCAAGTGTGCATAATTATACGAAACACTTCTATTCTCATTGAGAAGAAAAAGGTTTTGGTTCATCATATTGGTTCAAGTCACAAGTAACGTGATGATTCCTAGCTCCTGAGTGTTTACAGCAGTTTTGTCCATAATTACATGCATAAAGATACTTCCTCAGATGTGAGAAAGCTGAGCACTCCTTTCTGCACGAGACCCTTAACTGATTCCTTTTAAACAGTGGTGACACCTGATTGTTGTGAGGTTCCCAATGATTACTGAAGGTACATATGTTGGGGGATTGTTTTCCTCCAGTAGGACCCCCATGGCAAACATGATTCTGGGTGAGCATGATTCAACGACTCCTAGGATGTCTACTAGAAACTAGGATATTCTTTGGACAGGTTGAACCTTGACTTGTAGGGTTGACCCTACTAGACAGGACCAACATTTTGTGGACTCACCAGCTTCAGGAAGTTATGGAAGGTATTACACTGCAGTCTGTATTGGCTGATATTTAGAAGCAGAGGTCTCAGCGGTCCAATCCCTGAAACTAACTTTAGGAACATCCAAAAAATTTCTTTGGTTCAAATAATGGGTTGGGCACTCCAGTTTTAGAAGTCCCTGTTCGGACAAAAACACTAACAGGGTCATTGAAGTCATATGAATCAGTGGCATGCTGTACATACTTGTCTCATCATTAAAGGGGCAATATCATGTAAAATCAACTTTTTTGAGTTTTATATCATGTTATAATGTTATACTCTCATAAAAAAACACGCCCAAAGCCTTGCTTTGACTCATTCATGCATGTTTGAGAAATCCTGCAGCGTTTTTAGGAAGCCATGCTGAGGAGCAAAACGACAGGTGGGGACCAGAAACACTTTTTGGTAACAGAAACGCCCCTGGGACATGTCTTTGAGCCAAACTTCCTCATGGCAGAGGTCACCCCCCCACCCCACACACC